GGTAGGTTCCTTCCACTGGGTAAAGAAGTTGAGAACGCACGGTATATGGACATTGCATACCTTAGGGTACCTGAGGCAAGGTAGCAGGGCAGACCGAGAAAAGGAAGGCATCGTGGTCGTGTGCCTTCCCAACTTTTTGTAAGTATCTACCTGAGAAAACTGCTAATATCCATTGCTTCCTTCCATGCCTCGTGTGCGGTGTGAGGTCGGGAAGGTGGTGCTCCCCTCCATACTGCGTGCCTCCTTCCCATGGAATAATCATCATATTCCAACTCTAATTCTCTTCTTCATTTTACTCTTCCCAAGTCGTCAAGTTCTTCCCCCCCTCCCCAATCATTCTAAACATCCACCATCCCTTACACAGTATTCGTACGGATACTAGTGAACAAGACATTTTTGTCTTCGACATCCCCGTCAAGTTCAACGCCCCTGACCACCACCGCCACTACGAGTCTAGGTACGACAGCGCCATCACTGGACTCGCTGGAACGTCCTTCTTCTTTCGTCCCTAGTTCGGGCCCCCGTCGTCTTTTCTTCGTCTTGTCCACGGCTTCCTTCATCGGCCGTTGTCCATGCTGTCAATCCTCCGCAACACCCATCATCGCTGTTCGCATGACGACCCGGCTCAGCTGGAATTTTCGGGAACGTACCTGAAGGCATATGGAAGGAAGAGACTGGATGATATCCGTACCGCCTCTGCCTGATCATTATACCTACCTAACTCTTGTCCCTCCAAGGCCGTTCTCAATCGTCAGCTCCGCTCATCGCTCTCGTTTACCAACCTTGAGGTACCACAAAATATGCCCTTGAAGGCACTCGCGCATCGACGCATAGATCAAGTAATAAGTAGTGCCACTCACCTCGGATAGTCATGCCGCCAAAGCGATATACAGAGCCAACATCGGGGCTACTGCCAACGGCCCGTTTGAGCTGAGCTGAACGCCCATCCCGCACTCTCTACCAACATGTGCCTGGTTTCTTTCCCTACAAAGCAAGCTATACTGGTACACAGCACCATCCACTAGTACCGGCACACGGCCATTGTCAGGCCCGGCCTTGTCGTCTGCAGGCTGTCTGGGCGGTGGACGATCTCTTCGTGCTCGTCATCCCACATGTCGACGCAACTTGGCCATCACGCAGTACCAAGCACCTAGGAAGACCACACGACAGGATGGACCAGTGTGTATACTCCGTACTACATCCCGACTTCCTTGTCACCTCGAGACTAGGCTCTCCCCGCTCTTGCAGACCACCCCCGCGCACTCAAAATTTCTTATCGCTTTCCTAGCGAGCCACGAGGACATCTCAAAGACAACCATCGCCTGTCCGCCCCGGCCGAAGCTCGACATCATTCACCAATCCTCGCTCGCCATAACACGTTCCCCAGGCGCACACCGACGATCGCCAAAGTATGCTCCACATCACGCACCGCTATTCCGACGGAAATATATTCGCCTTAAGGCCACCATTTCGGCTTCCTCCTTTGAGGGGCGCGATGCCACGCATCCACGGTACCGCCAACCATCAACCGCACAACGTGCTTTCCATCCTCGGAACCCACTGTGTGTAAATGTACGTGTATGAGCCTCCTCCGACGCTCGGTGGCCTGACGTTCCACGATCACCATTTTGACGCCGACAATCGGGGCACAACTTTACAAGTCGAAACGCTCTTCGGTGAGGCACCAAGCACGAAAACGTGGGGACGAAACCAAGGAATCTGGCATGACGAGAGTGCCTTGACCCCTTGGACCCCTCGCACAGTGAAAAACATCCTGGGCTAGCAACAAACCCAGCGCTAGCCCGCCAGAGCGAGCGCAACAAGAATCACCAAACACCACCACCACCTCACGGGCCAGCGTCCAATTTCAGGGCAGCCATGGATCAGGGCAATGATACCACCAAGCCAGAGGGCAAGTCGACGGGACAGGAGCATCGTGGGTGGAGCTTGTGCTCGGCCGCGACTCGACGGCAGAAGACTGAGACTTCGTATGCAGCAATGCATATTCGTCTCGTTATGTCTCGTGGTTGACAACGCACCATTACATTGCACTCGCACTGCACTCGCACTGCACTCGCACTTTGGCTCACATTCAATACTGCAATGATTCCCGCGAGACGTGCAGCATCCCATTGCCCTCATCCTACCACGAATGGCGACAGACTTTTGGAGGGGGCAGATTTCCCATGTCGATCATCAACTAGTCAAGGAATGTCGCATGCGTAGCTTTCTGGGCACTCCGCCAACCACAGCATTGTCAAGGCGGCCTTCGCTCGAGCCAATTCCTCCCAAAATCTACTACACTATGATGTGACATGACGGGGCCAGCTTGACACGCTGACAGCCTACCGAATACTGTACGAGCACGTACCGACACTTTGCACGCGACTGAATAGTCTCAAAAGCAACTGGCAATGACTACGAATACTGCTGATGGCTGGACACGGCGGTGGCCCGGAGATCCGCATCGCTGTTTTCGACCCTGTCAAAGGCCCTAGACAAAGTGGTCCTGCCCTCGCAGGCGCCCGTGTCTTTGTCGCCTTTGCCCGGCTGTCGACGATCTCCTTTTTGATTCGAAACATAACAAAGCCATTTCTGGAAATAACCTAGACAGTGCGCGTAGGCCATCCCTCCTCTCCGCTGTCAATCACCCTAAGGTCTCTCCGAAAGAGCCGGCGAGGCACTGAACGACCGCCGACCGCTGACCGCTTCGGATGACTTAGTTGAGCCCCTCCATTGAGCCAACATCAAATCTACATCCGGACTCAAATGAACCCGCGGGGCGGACGAGACGGAATGGACGACGGGGTTGCAATACTGTCGTCGACGGGGCATATCCGTGCTATTACGGACAGGAGATAGAATTTGGCGATTCTTACGGCGCTTCCACCTTTATCGATAGTCAGCTTGCAGGGTCAAGCTTTTCTTGCCGCCATCTCCACTGTTTAGCTAATTATCCTCCGATCGAGATGACAGGTATCCCACCCGGAAAAGGAGGAGGGACAAATCGAAAGGAGCAAGACAGTGCGGCAATGCAACCACATCCTGGACCGTCGCCAGGCGTCTCCAACCTGCTCGACAAGTCACGACTGAGGTGATTGGAAAATACTACCTGTGATGGTGGTTAACCCCCACTTGGTCCCCCCCAGGTCTTGAGCATAAACGGCGAGGAACAAGAGGGAGCTAGGCGCAGAGAGGTAAAGCAAGTCGATCTGCCTGTCGGCATTTGGCTGCTACCAGCGGCACGCCTTGCTGCCAGATTGCCTCCCATGTCACAGCCGGTGCACTTCAAGTGGACTGCTGACTCGGGATGCCGTGGAGAGCAATTTGCAGTCGAATCACCTGATTCGTGGTGCCGCAGAGAAAGTCTTCAAAGAGTCAGTGGTCAGGCGTGGATTGCCGGTATCCTTACTGGGATTTTGTGTCACTATGAGTGCCTAACGGTGTTAGGACTTGAAGTTGAAGGGAGAGTTGGAGGGAGAAGAAACGATGTTACGGCACCGTTGCTGCGCTGCAGCAGCGATACTTCACCATTGGATCTCGACCACAGCGAAGGCCTGATGAGCCGATGACCTCTCCAATCATGGATAGCGAGGAGATACGACTAGCACCCCGTCAACTGATCTAGCATCGAGACTAAAAGCCCCGGGAATAAGCTTCAAGACGCCAGCCTTCCTGCAGCACAAGCTACGGCACGCCTCTCATGCAGCCCCAGGCCCCAAATCACCTCAACACGGCAGCATTGCAGCACTGCAGCAGCTCACCTCACTCATCACCGCAGACTCCAAAGCTTACACTTGCAAAGTCGCGGCTCCTCCCCCTCCATCTCGACGAGGGAAAAGACTTGGCGGCCCATGGTCCGGTCGGGAGCTGATCGGTGCCCTGCAGACCGTTATATTTCTGCGGCTGCTTAGCGGGGTCGACGTCCCCCTCGCCGATGTCCCTTCGCACTGTGGTGCTGACTTTGAAGGCGGTCTGCAGACTGCGGCACCGCTCTGTGCCATCTGGTAGTATGGATACACACATCGAGGAGTACTCATGTACGGATACGTGAGGCGACACAACGTAATAGCGCAAGGGCGGCTCCGTGCGATGCGGATCTCCCGGTGGGCTCTCTGTGCCGCCCCCTTCGGAGCGAATTTGAATTTTCCAGCGGCGGGCACTGGACGCGAGGCCAGCCAGGTGCGCCGGAGACATCTGGAAAAAGAATTTTGAGAAATTTTTTCAGGGAGCGAATTTTCACGGAGCCTCTGTTGTCGTGACTCTCTTTCCCAGAGTCTGTCCCACCGAGAAGACTCCGCGACGCTACGCGCGTATGGAGCAGTAGAGACGACAGTTATTGATACCATGACATGATGGAGCCCAGTGGTACCACTGTCAAGGACAGTGAAGAGTCCTTTTCAACCGTCCCAATCACTGGTCTCCAGGTCACATGTCAACCCGATCATTTTACGCGCTCAGCCCGTGCCAGCGCTTTCGCCATGCATGCACCAAGATAAGATCTGGCATACGATCGAGGCCTTCACGGGTAGGTATGGCGTTGAGTGATTGTACGCTGTACCTTTCGGAGTCTCCAGCTCCATGACTGGTATACACCAGGGGCCGATGCTAGGGATATCTGCCGGCGGCGTGCTTTCTATCGTCTATTCGGCAGGCATTGAGTCTCCTCCTGCGTCGCCCGTAGGGTCAAAGAGCCTCAAGCTCTCTGCAGCCATCAAGCTGTCGCCCGTGATGATGCCTAGCAGAGGGTAACGCTCAAATGGCAGGGTTAATTTCCTCTCCGAGAGGACCGCTTTCGCCTTAACTGGCGCTACAACTGATCAAACTGGACCAAGAATAACACGTCCTCTCGCCTCGCTTAACTTACACGAGCAACTCTCATTTTTTCCGTCTCAAGGTTCCGTCTCGGGCCACGGATTTTGCTCGAGTCTTTGGGCCGATGTCGATAGTACCCAGTGCCGCAAGGTAGCGTTTGTGCGTATCTCATATATCAAACCTCGCTAGGGCGCAGCGGTGCCAAAATCCTCTGTGGCGTTGGGTCTTTTCCATGTGCCCAACTCCAGATTGCTGACCATCTTCCCGATATATTTTGCATCTGTGTATGCGGCGTTTCGCTCCGCATCGGTGCTGGTCAAGTCAGCCACCCGCTTCAATTCTCGGCTGAGCCAGGGCAGCGGTTTGTTGTCGTGGGTGTTGGTCTTCAGCCTCATATTCAGGTCGGCTATTTTGGCCATGCGCTTGTGCGAATATACCACAACCTTGAAACTAAAAGTGGACTTTTCTTCGTAGTCGTTGGACAGTAGCCTTGTGTAGGCGCTGATAACTTGCGGCTCGAGCGAGAGTAACTAATATGGAAGATTCATCAGTACATGCTCGGGGAACGAGGGGCGAGGGGTGCCAAAGAGGGTGTGATGTTGTGACACACCGAGAAGGCGCGGCTTTGCGGTGACGATTCGTTTTGGAATTGTAGGGTTGTCAGTGCCTCGTTCCTGGTTTGGTTGTCGCGAAGACGCTCCCACTCCTGCCTATCTTGGGGATCTGCCGTCTCGAGAACATGGTCAAGGAAATGGGCAATTGACTGCTCGGCGACTTGTGTCAAGGTAGATACTTGGGATATACCCTACGAGGAGGAACGGGAACGACAGTCAGCGGCACTGTTGATACGAGTTGGTCCCACAAGACCAGGACCGGGACCGGGACCGGAACTGGAACTGGAACTGGAACTGGAAGCGCAGTGGCGGATCAAAGACTCACTAGCCATGGACGATGGCTCGGCTCGCCATCTCGCAGTCTGGTAGTGTATGCCGAGTTCTTGGGGTCGTAGAAGCCCTGCGAGACCGCGTGGAGATTACGCCAGTCGTTGTTGATGGCTCTCAGCAGACTGGCCGCGCGTTGGGTCTGGTCGGGATTGCAGCCAAAGGCGAGGCATTTCCCAATGCGCTTGTAGAGCTCCCGCGGACTGAGTGAGATGGCTGTTGCACGTTTGGTGGCTTTGGCGGCGGCGGCGGCGGGCTTTGCTTCGCGGGAGTATTCTGAGACTACGCGGGACAGCATCGACTGTTGGAGCCTTGTTGCTGTGGACCTCATTGTCGGGAGACGCTTGCTCTGACCAGCGGGGAGCGTGAGGTGTGTTAGGATTGAGGTCGGGCGTTGGAGTCGAACTCGGGGTCGGGAATCGGGGGTCGAGATGCGGCGTGCGAGGGGATATCGAGGTTGGCTTTTTGGTGTTGCTTTCCTGGAGGCGCCGTAATCTCCAGCAGATGGATCGCGACGAGAGGGAGAAAGGAGTGATGAGGGATGGCCGAACTCAAGCTTCTGACGTTCCCGCGGATTTTGAATAGCGAAGTTGAAGAAGCGGCGCAGTTTGGCATCAAGAAAGCACTTACGGCTGGGCTGAGCTTTCGACTCCGGTGAACGGGATGAGGTTCAAAGTTCCAACCAATCATGAGAGCTGTTGGAGCTTGGTGGTGGAGATGGGGCACCTTTGGAGGTGTCTTACATCATCTCGCCGAGGTCTGAGGTCTGAGGCCATTGCAGCGAGCTCTCGACCTCAATCGATAATTGACGACCTTGCGAGCTATGAGCGTGAGATGCTCTAATTGACGGAACCGCGCCATCTATTTTCACCTACCTTTTTACAACAATAGCAGCCTAGGAAGGCTGTCGCTTTATTTATACCGACTGGCTGCTCCGACAGCAGTCCCAAAAAGAGGATGAGCGTCGTGAATACTGAGTTGCGGAGGCGGGTCATTGCCATTTACAAGGGTGAGTTGAGATTCATTTTATTATTACTGTTGTTCGTCTTTACGCCAAGGGCGAGCATCGCACTCTCGTGCAACGAAGCTATATCGTGTACCTTTGAGGTTTCTCAATTACTCAAGTTGCTGAGATATTTGACCATTCTTGTCTACTTCATCTGTTGGGAAGAAACCTTGCGCCTCGCTAAACGTCAGGCGCTGGTGCATCATTGCTTTACAACAGATATTTCTCGTCTTGTAGACTGAAGATGTGGTCGAGTTTCATCGAATTCGCTGATTACATCACGACCAATCTCAATTTTGCGCAACCCATTTCTTTCCCTCTCGTTCTCTTTACTGCTTCGATAATATCATTTCACCTCCTACCTGTCAACTACCATGGCAGGACTCACATCACAACCACGCAGACAAAAAATGGCTGACCATCAAGAACAGAACTCCTCTACTTGGGCCGAGAATACCCTCTCGGCTACGATTACTTCCGTCCGCGCCTACACAAGGCGTTTTCTGCGAATGCTGGGTTGCGGGATGAGGAGGCTATTCGGCGGGGGATCGAGAGGGCCGAGTTTGTGAAGAAGGGTACGTTCGTCCGTCTTTCTTTCTTTCTTTCTTGCTTCATTCTTCGGCTTTGAGGTTTCCTCTCATTAGTTTGTTGCTTCATGTGTTGTGGTTTACCACGTCTCCCATACCCTTTGCCATCTCGCTTGGCAGAAATGATTTGCCGGGCTGTCTGTTTGTTTCGCCGTCCATTGTGGGTGGTCTTACAGGTACCCGTTGGTGTTGATGGAAAATGTCGCGGATGGAAGAGACAAAAACATTGGGTTTCGGGCTTGGCAAAGTGCTGCGGCGAGACTCGAAAAAAGCATGCCTACATCATGATCATGATCACGGAGTAAGAAGTACAGAGATGCAAGTCGCAGGCCGTGGTTCTCGGTTCTAGACTCTGTCCTCTAGCACGATATATCGACACCATGCCGGAGCAGGCATTGCCAGAGGCAAGATGATGGGATTCTTCGTCCGTGGATAGGGTAAGATGAGATCCATGGTTGCTGTCGACGTCAGGCTCTATGACCGCTCGTGACCGATTCCAAAGTTGGAGTTGGTTTCTGGGACACTTCGTCTTCGCTTTGGGGGTACTCCTCCTCTTCAAGTGACTTGACCCCATCTCCGTGTTGGTCAATCCCCAAGTTCTGCCTTCATGTTGGAGGATGGATGCATCTAGTGGTGCACCGGGACTTATCTCGATAGATCTACTACATGCCCTCGAATTTCCACTTTCAGCTATCCATACCGATGTCGCTATGCCCCGGGTATGGACTTCGTCGGCCGTGGGCAGCACCACTTACATCAGGATCTCGTTTCTTGTCCAGCAGGTGGCAGAAGTTGCCGCTTCTCGCTTCAATAACAAGTTTGCTTCTACCGTCTAGATCATTCCCCTCGTTCCTCGCAAACTCTCCTTTACATCCCTCCTTCAAACCATCTTGAACCAGTCACTCCTTGGTTCCTCCTGAGCATGGAGGGAGGAGTCAGAATATCCCACCAGTCGGCTGGGTCAAGTGCTCTCCGCGAGTGTCTACCATCTACCTCGGCTACATCTAGTTCATGAGCTCTTCTTCATTTATCAATATGTTTTGTTTTTGGTTTGTGCTGGACTTGTGCAAGTGGGTGACACAAGTTACTTCCCCAGCTTCGTCAAAGTCGTTCCATCTATTCTTCATCGGCCATGATCTCGTCCTCTTTATCTCACCCTTCTCCCCATTCTACTCTCTCAACAAGCATATGGGAAGCAATAGCATCAAAACTTTTAATAACGAATGGAACAAAAAGAAAGCTGACTTGAACAACTCATAGAAATCGAAGCATTGTAAGCCATCCAGCGCCTCTCACCTGGCGTTCTCACAAACCCCCCCCCCCCCCTTCCCCCTTTCCGCGTCCATCCAACTGCGCAAGTTCGTCTCCCGAAGTACATGTACCAATTACACGACAATCCTTCCTTCGTTCCATCAGATACCCCCGAAGCGATGTCCTTCAAATCAATCTCTCAAAAACACCTCGACAAGTGTGGATAAGGTCCAAAGAAGAACCTACGTCGCCGCTCCTTGGGAGTGTAGATGCTTCTTTCTTCCCGGACTCACACTGTCTCAACGCATGTGTCCCTTTTACAAGCCATCTAGCCTCACTCGTTCCCCCTTCCAACACACTCAACTCGGGTGTTTCCACTAGGCGGGTTCCTTGCAGAGCAAGTGCAATCTGTCAGGCACGATTACACGTTTCAAGTCAGACTTTTATAGCAAGTCACTGCTCCATTCATTGCCTATCATCCTTCCCTTCCCTTCCCTCCCTCTTTTCCCAGGGAACGAAAGGGGCACACTCCGCTACCACAGCATCCAACGAGTGACAATGTCATAATTGGCAACACATCAGAACGCCAAAGTCCCCCGTTGCCCTCCCTCTCCACATGCCCAACTCTTCTTAAGACTTTGTTTCTCGTTGTCGACAGATTCAATTACACTCTACAATGATACATTATTCACACGCCCTCTTATCAAGTCGTTTCTTACTGCCTCCATCCTCATATCCAATTTTACCCCCGAATCTCTCCATCCCGTCATGTTCAACAAGTCATTTCGAAATGAAAAGGAAACTGGCGATTCCTCTCTACGGCGAGGCAAGTCGCCTGCGTCGATTGACTGCCTGGCCTCCGTGTAATTTCCATCACTCTCATCCGAACACCGTGTCACTTCTTGGCACATAGCACCGCATGATGAAGCATGTAGGGGGGAATATAGTTATTGTATAGTTATGATGAATGATGTGATAGGATATGTATGTATATATGTAGATGATGTGGTAGTAGATGACGATGACGATGATGATGATAGGGTATCTCGATGAACTGGATCTCTGATCTTTCTCCCCTATTCCTTTCTTCCCTCTTTCTTTCCTTTCCTGCCTTGTCCCTTTTCGCCATTCCTTTTGGTTTCTCTTGTTTCTGGTAAAAATGTATGCTGCTCTGTTGTTGATAATGGCGCTGCTTCGTCCTCGAGTGGCCATGATGCTAATCGCGTGCCAGGTATTATCTCAAGCGGTACCGGGCGTTGAGGAAGCGGTACGTCCCAGGTGCGTGATGCGGCGAGCGTCTCGGGATGGGCGTAGTAGGCATAGGCCAAATCAAATGTGAGGGCCAATCATTCCCATAGAGTCCAATAGACGGTCGCCGCAAAAACGCGAATGCAAAAACTCCTTCTTTTATCCGTCCACCATAACTTCGTCATGCTGCTCTTCACCGCTCCCTCTTGCGTGCCCACCAGGCACCCACTTCCAAACACTCTCCCCAACTCGTACCATTCTCCCTCATGAGGTCGTTCATCATCTTGCCTAGCCAGCCGTCCCATTCGTCCTGGCTCTTGCCGCTGACCTCGCGCAAGATCGGCTCCAGGCTCTGGATCTGCTGTACGACGGTCATCAAGGCTGTGCGGCGGAGCGCCGCCTGGGCCTCGGTCAACGTCTTCTTCTGCTCGTCCGGTTTGTCTTTGCCTTTGCCCTTGCCGGAGTTGATGAACGACTTGCCGTCCTTGGTCACGACACCGCCGACACCCTCGCGCTCCCAGCGAACTTCAGAAAGAGGGATCGCCAGGCGCTTGCTTTGTATGTCCGTCAGCTCCTCGGACTCCTGGATGAGCATAGGACCAATGAGGGTACAAGGCACAGGACTCAGATTGCGGGACTCGAGTGCACGGTGAACCCAACTGTTGTACTCGACGAGGAAGTTGTTCAGCGGCGCGCTCAAAGGGGTCTTTGCCGAAATGGGATACGCGCCGAGCGAGGCGACAGTGGCGGTGTCTTCGGTGTTACCAGACTGTGGCGCGGCGTGGGGCCGCAACATGCGGATCTGGTGGTCGCTATCCCAGAATTCCACAGTGCCACCGGGGCGAAGAATGCGATGGTATTCTTCAATGGCGTTCTGTAGTGCGTGCGGCGACGTCACAACCAGACTCAGATCCTTGACCATAACCAAGTCGAATTCGCCATCGGCAAAGGGCCACGGAAAGTTGCGAATGTCGTGCTGCATGAATCGCCATTTCATGTCGCGAGATACATCCCCCGCATTCTGCCCCATTGGGCCAATATCCATGCCAGTGAAGTGGATATCTGGGTGGCCTCGTTGTGCGAAATACCGGTGACACGATTGACTCCAGAACCCTGAGCCACAGGCGACCTCGAGGACACGACCAGGCGGCTTGCTGGCAAAGGCTGTAGAGCAGATTGGCGATCCAAACAGCTGAATGAGCAGTAGTGTGCGCAATGACTGGCGATGGATCTCGCTCA